AACCAAACCAAACCAAACCAAACCAAACCAAACCAAACCAAACCAAACGTTGAGTTAGGCAAGAGATAACTCCATGATTATACTTCAGTGGAACACACTGCCAGCCTTCAGGGAGACCAGGAGGCACAAATCTCAAGAGTTCCAACCTGGCCCAGACAAGCCTGTGTTTCAAACACAACGTGTTCAACAAAACCTTCCCAACTCTCAACCCCAAAAAGCCATCACTCAGGTCCTCATGTTCCTTGGATCTGAATGGACCCAGAAAGCACTTCCAAAGGCTTGTGATTGATAAATTCAAAGCACAGATACCTCCTTTTTATAGGAAACACTAAAATAATTCACTATTTCTGAAAAAGACCAAAGTACAGCTTGGGAAGGTTAATGTAAAAATGTAAAAGCTAATGAATGGCTAGGTGTGTCTTTCAATAAGAAATGCTCTATCTCTCTATCTCTATTTTACGCCAGGGGATAACATATGGATTCATTTCACTTCACAATATTATTCGTTCATAAGTAAAAGAGATACCAGCCCATGGATATGGGTCTCACTGTGAGAAGTCTTGCTTTACCACCTCTGTTCCACTGTTTAGCAAAAATCACTGTGGTATTTCTACCTGGTAAGAGAGGGAAAACGCTGTTTGATACAAAAAACCAGAAAGAAAACTTTATTTCATTTATTCACCATGCTTTCATTCATTCAATAGATATTGCATGTTTTGAGTACCTATTCTCTGCCAGTTCTAAGACAGGAAATACAGTTGTGAATAAAATGCCTGCTCCCCCAGAGCTTATATTCCAGTGGGGAAGACATGAGGGAAAACGAAAAATAATAATGGTATAATCTCTGGAAATGGTAAATGATGGTAAAGAAAACTAAAGCAGATTAAGCAAGGTAAAGGGCTCATGGAGTAATGGCGGGTTGGGGGTGGTCAGAGGGAGTGACATCGAACGAGAGCCCAGAATGAAGTGAGGGGTCTGTGGTCACCCATACCTAGGATGTGGCAGACGCAACAACAAAACCTTAATTAATAAATTAAGATCCTTACTCTTGTATACTCTGACCTATTGCAATAATCCTTTTGAATTATGTCTCTCCTTACGAAGTCTGGATTTGTCTGACACTGGCTAGAATGTGGATGTGATCTGCAGAGTTGAATCTGCCGTCTTGGATACGAGATAGTCCAATAGACGATAGAGCAGCACAATCGAAGGAGCCCAAGTTTCTGGTGACCCCGTGATGCCACAATAACCAGCCTGCTTCTAAACTTTACTTAGGTACAAGAAAAATAAACGTCTGTGTTATTTCATATTCTGTGACTTGAAGTTTTCCATCATGGGCAGTCAAATCAAAGCTTCACTGCCGCAGCCCGTCTGGAGAAAAGCTAGTCACAGAAGGGCAAAACGCTAGCATGGCCCACGGTGCCATTTCCTTACCACTCCGGATGGGGGTCGCCGCTTCTCCCAGGCTTGAGATGACGCTTGCAAAGGGTATTACTCCCAGAACATTTGCCTGGAAAGGACGCCAAAGATTATCTCATCCTATCCCCTTATTTTCTTAATAAGGCAACTGTGACACAGGGAAGCCAAAGGAATGGCCAAGGACAGACAAGCCTTCATGACAGCGCAAAACCACAGCTAGTCCTCCAGACCCCGGCAGCCAGGCATTTTCCACTAGACACTGCTGCAGCGGCCAGAAAAACGCAACCCGAGTCACCAAGTCTAACTCAAGTCTTCACTAGAAACACGTAGTAAGGGACAAGCAGATCAAGGAGCATGTATCCTAGAGGGAAAAGGGAACTTTTCCAAGAATTCAGCAACAAAGACGAGACTGATCGTTTCGAATGACAACGAAGAGATGCTAACAAGTATATTATGTCTCAAGAGGAAAGCACCCTCTGTTCAGGTGTTCAAGGGCCACATGGGGTGGTTACCTCGGCTTCACTGCTATCCGGAGGAAGGCAAATGTGAGTGATGTTCAGACCAGCCTGCAAAAGGAACACAAGGTTGTTCTGTCACTGTGAGAGAATGTAGCGTCAAAAAATTATGGTGAATTTGTAGAATTCAATAATCCTCACCTCCTCTGCCAAATTCTGGTTTATTTCCTGCATCAAGTTATCGTCACCTGCCTTAGGAGATGGGAGTAAGAAGGAGAATGTAACAGCAACAAAAATATCTTGACAAAGCACAAAACGTAATACAGAGACTAATTTTGTGACTATCAATTATCCAATTTATTAGAAAGGGAAGGAAATGCAGAATCTTATTGCTCACAGAAGGAGACTAATAGCTGGTATTTATTGGCATATCAATTTCTCCGCTTTCAAATTATGTTACTTTTAAAAAGTAATAGCCCTCCTAAGGCTCATGTAGCCACCCAGCCAGCACCCTTTCTAAATGAGGACACCACAGACAGGGCTTTCGATGACTTGTCCGTAGCTGGAAACCCATCAGCAAGCAGAATCCCAGGAGGTCCAGCCTCAGATCACTTTTCTTGCAACCTTCTTGCTTGCCTAGCTTTGTAGGGGGTATGGAGACGGGCCCCAAGAATGCAACTGACATGAGCATAGCTGCACAGTCTTGAAAATCACAGCGCCGATGGGACTCCAGGCTGCTACTCTGACACATTACGTGCGTGCCAAAATGAGGCGGCGGCCCACCTGCTGTGCTGTGTGAGCTTCCAGGCTTGGCTCACCTCCTGACTGCCCTGCACCTGTTACCCCATAGGGCTGCCAAGAAGGAGGGCAAACAGCACCAACTACAGTTGGGAACGAAGGGGCCGCAGTCAAGAGATGTATATGAAATGCCAAGTCCTTCTGACATGTATTGACGTTTGGCCCTTCAGGCTTATGGCAGGCTTTACCAGGTTTCATGGTAAGATCACTAAGTACCATGCCTCATCAAGCCTCCTTCTTCCACAGAAACAAAGGGGGAACTTTTCTCCTTATCACGTTCAAGTCACATCTGATAAGCATCTCTGAGCACATGTGGACACAATAATGTCCTATGTAACACAACTGACGTGGGTGCCTACCTCCTAACCTCTCAAAGCAATTCACAAAAGACCCATTCAAGCAGGGAGGTAACTAACCAGTGACCTGGTAGAAGCAAAATGACCAAAGGAAGAGGGACATGACCGTATTTTCATCTCTGCCCTCTCCTCCCTGTTAAGACCACTTCTGTGACAAGAAATGCCCTGGTCTTCTGCAGACAATTCTCTTCTACATTGAAAGGCATCCTAAAAGAGCAGCACTGAACCATGGTCTCAGCTTACCTGAATAATAGCAAGCACCGGCTTAAAGGTAGGGTTTTTTTCTTGCAATAAATTCAGAACCTCTTTTGAATTCTGAATGACTTCTCTGCATTGAGAAAGAAAACCAACACACAGTCATGTCTTTGTTAATGACTAGAAAGGACTGATCCAACACATTTTCCTAGAAAGTTTGTTCCTGTAAGTGAAAATAGTTAGACGACATAAGGATGCGCTCCAAGCGTGGGAAGTGTGGCGAGGAGGGGCAGGGTAACCATCTTGAAGTACAACACAGAGTAAACTGTGACCATCTGATTTTTAAAATAAGCAGAGGTGTGCAAACTAGATGTTAACAATTATTTTCCAGGGGTGAATTCTCTTGTATTTTCCAAGTTGACTGTAATAAAACTGTTGCATTTCTTTTTAAATAACCCACTTCCTCCACCTACATCCATCCCTAGGGGTTCCCACGGGGACTGAAAACATTGGTGGGGGGAGGGTAGCAGAGACTGAAGAGGGGGCGTGCTGTCAGACAACCGGGTGGGTCACGGATAAATGCCAGGTCCCAGAATTCAAAGGAATGTGAAGGGAGAGGGTGAGGAAGAAAACAGAGGGGAAGGGAGGGGGAGGTTGGAGGAAGGGTTGAGGGGGAGGGATAGGAAAAGGGAAGTGGGGGAAGAGAAGGGTGGATGGGAACGGAAACACTAGGGCTGCATCAGAATTTGACACTCTCCCCAGGCCTCTTAGGGAGAAAGCCTGTCAGTCCTCGGGGTGCCCCACCACCCAAGTCTGCATTTGGACTTCCTAAAAGTCCCAGCAGGTGCCATCACCACCTTACTATCACTGGTGGGCGGAGGACAAGGGGTGCCAGCCCAGGCAGGGCAGACCTAGGTGATGAGGTACAAGTCACGTGCTCCTTCTGCAGTCTTCTGGGATGAGGGATTGCAGATTCCTCCACCCCCATCACTGTGACGTGGTCCTTACCTGCACATGAAGTTGGCTTTTCTTCTCTCATGATAATAGACAAAAGGCTCAGCCAAGGCAGTACCCAGGCCCTGTGTTAAGACCGTCTTTAAATTTTGTTTTCTGTCTCTGATAGGGTCTTACGTGCACCCAACAGCTTCCAAAAACTACAAGGTGAAGTTCCAGCCAGATAGCATTAGCAGTACATGGCTGAGGGCACAAAGGCATTGCTCAGCTTCGCCCAGTTTTCAAAGAAGCTGCTGAGCATACTGGAGGAGCTGCTCTTCAGTAGGTAGATGGAAAGAGAGGGGTGCTCAGGAGACACTGAAAAGCTTCAAAACTCAACCATGATGAGCCTTCCCACCTGACCCTGGGCTACCCGAGACAGAATAGGGAGGCATGCAACTGTACATGGCCTGTGAAGATTTTCGTCTGTTTTGTTTCCAAACAGTTGGCCGAAGCAACTTAATTCTCCGAGAAATAACTATATTATTGTGTTGAATAACTGAGACTATGTGAAAGTTTACAAATTGCCTTATAAATGAGCACTAAAATCTCCTGTCCAATAATGTGCGGCTGAGGGCCACATGCTACGCTGTTTCCCTGCCTTTCATGACTGTTAATTTGGGCCAAGTGGGTCCTTACTTCTGCCTGGTTCCGGAAGTCACTGGAGCGTAGGACCCAAGTGGTTTTTGGCAATGTGCATGAGGATCACCTTGGCAGCTTGGTAAGAAGCAAGGTTTCTGTGTCTCACCCCAGAAAGTCAGATTCGACAGGGCTGGGTGAGGCCCAGGAACGTGCGTTTTCAACAAGGGAGCCAGGTGGCTCTTAGCTTGGGTAGAAGGGAAACAGCCATGCACCAGGATGTGGGCCTCCAACGGACCTACATGATCAGTTTACTGAATCTCTAAGAAACTCCAGTAGCCTCATCCGTGAAACAGGAGTCCTATGGCTACCCTAGGACGCTAAAAAATACTCATTTGACAGCAAGTTTCCCCAAAAAACTGTTCATAGCCTTGATCACCACCCTCAATAGCATGAAGGGACCAAACACTTCCATAAAAGCACAAACCTGTCACCAACAAAGCAAATAAAGCTGGCTAGTTTCTCCCCACCTCTTGCATGTGTGATGTTTCATTCTTCGGGGTTATTCATGATTCCTACAGTGACAAGCAAAGTAAGCACGAAAGCAGTCACCAGGCTTAACAGATCTAAAAAGTAGCATAAATGTTTCTAATCAGAGATTTTCTCACTCCTGGGAGAAAAGCTGCCTTGTCAATTTCCAGCTAGAAGGAATGTGTGATTCTCCAGCCAGGCTGCCATGTGTCATTACTGAAGAAGATTGTAAGAATTTATAATAATGTAACTAGTAGATCAAAGTATCTACTACTGGAAAAGACTTCAATTACCTCCATTTTGACCTTTAACTTTTCTTTTTTTTTAAGATTTTATTTATTTATTTGACACAGAGAGAGAGAGAGACAGCGAGAGAGGGAACACAAGCAGGGGGAGTGGGAGAGGGAGAAGCAGGCTTCCCACGGAGCGGGGAGCCCGATGCGGGGCTCGATCCCAGGACCCTGGGATCATGACCTGAGCTGAAGGCAGACACTCAACGACTGAACCACCCAGGCGCCCCTGACCTTTAACTTTCTAATTGATGTATTTCTTCCTTCCAGCTTATCTCTTAACTCAGGCAAAAGACTTGGAAGGCAAAGCATCCCTAGATGGGGGGAACACAAACCACCCCCTCAAGCAATAAGGACTGCCCTGTGCCAGCAAGACCCCACCGGTGATTGACCCCAAGACAATGACCCGACCTTGACCACCCACCTGCCTGTACCCACCAACTTTAGTCCCACATTTTCCTTACATAAACCTAGAAGTATTTTCAGCACTTGGGAGAGTCTTTGAGATGTTAGTCCACTATCTTCCTGGTGTTGGCCTCACTGAAATAAATTTCCTTCTTGTTTCACTCCTTGTCTCTCTGCCTTTGGATTTTGTCAGCTGTGAGTAGCTGAACCTGCTGGTCCGGGACCTTCAGAGGCAAGTGCTCTCGCATGCCGGTGCCCAAGTTACACGAGCACTCACTCTACAACACGTCGGTCTCCCTTTGGCTGGGAAATAATGTGTCCACTGGGCATAAGGCTGCTGGAATAATGACCTCATTTCTCTGTCTCCCTTGCAGCTAGCTGTAGTCACGCCACAGTCTCAGAGGCAGCCGCTGACAAGGTTATTTAAAACTACCAACTTAAGGACATCCCTGAATGCTGAGCCCCTTTATTGATTTCAAAGGCAAAAGAGGTACCAGTGCACACATAGGGTTAAAATTTCCAAAACAGTGTCTTCTAAAGACAGCCATCAGTATTCGGAGAAATAGCCCAGGCTGAAAGCCCGGCAGAGCAGTTTAATAAACCTACAGCATCGGTAATTTCGTGGATACATTCAATATAATAGTAACAGTAGTATGGACACAACTGACGATGGTCTGGATGTTTGGGTACTTCCTATGAACACTTCCACTCATTTTCCTCTTTAACAGAGTTCGGAGTGTGAGCTGCACATGGCATCGGCTAGAGAGCACATTTCCCGGTTCACCTGTGACTTGATGGGCTCATGACATTAACTGCTGGCCAACTGGGTTGTGAGCACTGGCCAGATGGAGGCGAGGAACATGCAGCGAAGAGAAAGATCCGCCAGCACCCTGGCCCCTTTCCCTCGTGCTGGCTGGGAGGCAGGAGCTGGAGCAGTGAGCAGATATCATAGGGTCATCATCCTACCTTCCCTGTCTGCCTCCTTCTGGACACTAAGGTCCACAACACTTGGCGGTATCTTTATTAAAGCAGCCTAGCCAGCTTCCTACTCATGCATAGGCCTGATCTGGGAGCTCGAATCTTATTTGCTGTGTTTCATCCAATTTCAGATACAGAATGAAAGACATGCCACTGTTTTACAAACCCCTAAGAAAGAAAAACAAGCTGGCAGTTAAACTACGGCACAATCTTTTCTTCACAGACTGTGTATTCTGTGAGTATTAAAAGAATTTTTAAGACTGATTTAGGCATAGATATTTTGTTTGCCATAAAGCACTCGTATGAGCATAAAAAGTAAAACTACCAAACTGAAACGTTCCTAAAACTTCACATTCAGGATATGACTCTTCTGAGTGACTTAAAAAAAAAAAAAAAAAAAAGTAAGTAATCTGTATACTCAGCGTGGGGCTCGAACCCATGACCCTGAGATGAAGAGACGCACGTTCCTTGGACTAAGCCAGCCAGGCACCCCAAGTGACTTTTTTGATTCAAGAGTCCTTGACGGCAGTTTCTTTTTTTCCCCCCATTCAATATCACCCTCTATGCCATCAAAGGTGTTAGTGATGTGGCATTTTTTGAAAAACCATATCACTTCTGTCCCTGGGGTTTTCCTTAAATTCCTGACACCCATTCTGCAAGTTTTCTTGTTAGAGCGTTCTCGATTCTACCAGGTATCACCGGGCAGTTGTCAGACAAAAACCAGAAATCATTTCATTTCCTAAAATAGCCCTTCCATGACTTGTTGATGGAAATATTGGGGATTACTGGAGAAATGAGAGGTCACTATGCTTTTGAGGGAGCTTATTCGTTCACTTTTCTGGTATATTTCATGAAATTAAAAAAAAAAAACCTAACATACACAGATTTGTGGATGTCTATCCTAGGTGACTCCTAGCTAGGCCCACCTCCCCTATTTCCTCCAAGTCCTCGGGGAATCTCTTGGAGGAAAGTTTTGTTAGATGATGCACATAAGTCAATTAAGTTACAACAATATGCATGGCCAGGTTCCTACAGGTACAGGCAATGACAAATAGGCGATGACTGTCACGTGGCCAACAGCAATTGTCAGACAATTGATTAAAGACTAGTTCTGGAGATACTAAAAAATATGCCCTTTAGGATCAGCAGAGTATAGTGATGTCCACAACAACTTTTGAAACTGGTGATAATGGTTCCCATTTTGTATATGAACAGAGATCAAACAGCTTGCCCCAATTCTCACACCTAGGAAGTACTGGAGTCATATTGCAAAGCAAAGCACCTATCCCTTAACCATAATCCTATGAAGCAGTAATTCATTGTACAACACTTTCTCCTCTTAGTTTAGAACAGAAGGGCCAGCAAACTTTGACACACCAGGTTAAAAACAGCTTTTGCATTTTTAAATGGTTAGAAAAATCAAAATAATAACATTTTGTAGCATGTGAATATTATGTGCAACTCAAATGTCAGTATCCATAAATAAAATTGGCTTTTGTCAGTAAAAAAATTATGAAAATGTTTTTTTCCTCTCGTAAAAGTTTCTACATAAATAGCTTCTATTTTGCCTATTGGCCTGCAAAACCTAAACTATTTACTATCTAGTCCTTGGCAGAATTGCTAACCCCTGGCTTAGAATGCTCTAAAATAAATAAATAAATAATAGCCAATATTTGTGGAGGTCTTGCTATGGCAGTTCCTGGGTTATGCATTTTGTCCGTGTTCTCTCACGCATTCCTTTCCGTAACCCCGCGAGGTAGGCTACCATTCCCCCACTGCGGTACGGGAATTGAGACTGCCGCCCAGGGCCAACAGGATCCTGACCCAGGCCCCCTACTGACCACTCTGCTCATCTCTAAGTCGGGCAATGAAAAGAACATTCGTGAATACAATCCACAAATGAACCCAAATCTTGAGTGATGCATTCAGGCATCATGTCCCAAGCGGCCACCCTACACATGGCACTCCTTCCAGGAGGAAGCATCTAGCAGTGAACAAGAGACAAAGCCCCTGGCCCCACAGAGCTTTCATTCCAGGGAGGTTGGGGGAGACAGACAATAAATGAAGGAGAAAGTGGCAGGTAGCCATAAGAGCTACCCAGAAAATAAGAGGGGGATGGGGTGGTGATTTCTGCCTCCCATACCGTCTTCAAACCCTGACCCACTAAGGGGAGCTCAGCTGTACCCTGGTGAAATTCTAATGACCTGAAGAGAGGCCTGAAGTACTACATTCCGAAAGAAGACAAGATAAACTAAGCAGAAGGCTCCTTAGAGTCATCGGCTACACCATAAAGGGCTTTGGGAACGGAGGAGGGAAAGGCAGTTACTTTCACAAGCAGGGACAGAAGGAAAAACGAAGAGGATGTGAATGGATGGCGAACAGCCCCCTCAGTGACACGGCAACCTGGAACCAGGAATCCTCCTGGAGGGTGAGGAGGCAGGTAAGGGCTTTCCCGGCACCTCCAGGTTTGTCCTGAGTGCTTCGCTCCAGAGGTTTAGTCCCCCAGTGAACCCACGTCTCCAGGAAGGGCCATTCAAGGCTCTTCCTGCCCTCTCTCCCACTGAGGGGCAAGGACGGGGTGCGGGGCGGTGCGGGGGGGGGGGGGGGGCACAAGTGGCGTCTCCGGTGGGGGGCAGGGAAAGGCTGGGCCCAGAACTCCCACAGTTCATCTCTGGGTCGGGCGAGAACTTTCTATACGCAGCTGCGCTGGGGACTCCTGGCCCACCCGTGCCGCGATGGGGGCACGAGTGGGCCCGACTCCTCGGCCGCGTTCTGCCTGTTGTCAGGTGAGTCCGGCTCCACGTTAACGCGCCCAGAAAAGGATTATGTAACTCAAGAAAACACGCTTCCCCACCCGCAGGAGGCTGCGGCGTTGCCGGACGCGGAGGACCGCGCAGGTAGGCGCGGGAGCCCGGCGGAGGCCGCCTCTCCCGCGCCCGGGGCCGCATCACGTCCCCCGCCCCCCCGGCCCCGCCCGGCCCCGCCCCGGGCGCCCTTCCTCCTCCGCGCTCCCGCCCTCCGCCGCACCGCCCCTTTCCCGCCCCGCCGCGCTCGGCGCCGTTGCATCAGAGCCGGCCGGGGTGGCGCACGTGGAGCGGGGCGCGCGGGCTAGGGGCGCGGCACCCGCCCGGGATGCCCGCGCCCGCGCGATCCCCGCCCCGCGCCGGCCCGGGCGCCGCCGTCCCCCGCCCCGCACGCACTGCGGCCCTGCGGTGCCCGCGCTCCCCCCCGCCAGCCGCCGGGCGCCCCTTACAAGTTAGCACCAAGCACTCCGAGTCGGAGCCCGGCGAAATACCCGCGGGGGGGGGGGGGACGGACCTCGCCGAGACCTGAGCGCCCCGGATGCCCCACCTCCTGCGTCCCCGGCCGCCGCCACCCGGCACCGGAGCGGCGGCGAGCGCCGGCCACTCACCTGACGATCGAGTCCCGCGCGGGGGGCGCCTGGCTGCCCTGGCCGCGGCTGCTCCCGACTTGGGAGTCCCGCAGCCGCCGCTGCTCGAGCAGGCCCTCCCCACCGCCACAGCCGCCGCCGCCGCCGCTGCTGCTGGCGCGACAGGGCGCTCGGAGGCGGAGCGGCGAGCCCGGGGGCGGCTGCAGACGGCGGAGCCCGCGCAGGAAGAGCGGCAGGCGCGCGCTCATGGCGCCGGGGCGCAGGCGGGACACGGGAGGCGGCGAGAGCGAGGGGCGGCGGGTCCTCCGTCCAGGCGGAGATGTGGCTGCGGAGCACGGAGAGGCGGCGGCGTCAGGCTCCTCCGGAGGGTGGCGGGGCGGGCGCCGGGCAGGGAACCGGCTGGCGGGTAACGGGCCGGTGTGGCAGGAAGGACCAGCACCTTCCTCCTCAGCCGGAGCGGGAGCCCCTAGGGGGCACTGCACCTAGAGGCCGTGACGCGGAGAGGGCGGGGGCCTGCGGCACGCGGGGCTGCTCCTAGTGGCCTGGCCCTCGGAGGCAGGCTTTCGGGCACTCCGTCGCTGCTGGAAATCTGACTAGCGATAAAAATCAGAGGAGGGTGGGGCGTCAGGGCGGCCTCTGGTCCAGTCCAGAGAGAGAGTACATCCTCCCTCCGCCCATGATGCTGACAAAACCTTGCCCCAGGTTGGAGTTTGCTTCCCGGAAGGCCACTTGGCCGTGCCCCAGGCTTAGATACCCGGGCTTGGATTTTTTTTAGGCTGGAGGTGGTCTAGCAGTGAAGGGATGTGTGGGTCTAGGAGTTCAGAGGCTGATTTGTAGCCTTGGGCGAGTTAATCTCTGTGAATCTCAGCTGCCTGCACAGTTAAAACGAGATTATCGATACTTTGTTTATAATCTTATCAGGATTATAATTCCCAAGTAAAGCGGGAATAAAACTAGTGCAAACTCCAAACACGGGTTTTCCAGTAGCTAAACACTGTACAAAGTACTGGAGTGTCATTTCATTTAATCCTAGTAAATGTACAGATCTTTCTGGAGTCATGATGAGGTTACCCTCTGATAAACCGATCCTAAAATTGGAACTATGTAAATTGAAAATGCATTGAATACACCTAACCTGAACATCATAGGTTAGCCTAGCCTACCCTAAAAGTGCTCAGAACACTTACTGTAGCCTATAGTTGGGCAAAATCATCTAACACAGAGCCTGTTTTATAATAAAGTGTTGAGTATCTCGTGTAATTTATTGAATGTTGTGCTGAAAGTGGAAGAAAGAGTGGCTATAGGGGTACAGATTGCTTGTCAGTATATGGGTTGTTTATCCCTGTGACCACGTGGCTGACTGGGAGCCTCCTCTGGCTACAAAACTGCCCAGAATGAGGAGATCATACTGCTGTGTATTGATAGCCCAGGAAAAGAAAAGATCTGGTTGCAGTTCCATATCTACTGAATGCCCACACCATCATGAAGTGGAAAAATCATAAGTTGAACAGTCATAAGTCAGAGACTGTCTGTAATGTGTTGAATATTGTCCTGACTTTCAACCTGGGGGAAATGGGTCCAGAGAGGTCAGTTGTATGGAGGTTTACCTGAGTCAAATGATCATGTTCTTAATCTTTTTTTTTTTCAAATCCCCTTTATTTATTTGAGAGAGAGAGAGAGAGAGAGAACGAGCAGGGGGAAAACAGAGGGAGAGGGAGAAGCAGATTCCTGCTGAGCAGGGAGCCCCATTTGGGGCTTGATCTCGGGACTCCACGATCATGACCTGAGCCGAAGGCAGACACTCAACCAACTGAGCCACCTAGGCGCCCCTGGTCATGTTCTTAATTTTATACTATTGTCTGCAGTTTTCATTATAGGGCGATGGTCTCATTTGACACAATTTGACTTTGTAGGGTAGAAGAATACTTAACATTGCCACAACCCTGTGAGGTGGTTATAAAACTACCATTTTATATTGGAGGAAACAAAATCACAGAAGTTATGCCTTGCACAAGCATATGAATATTGGAAAGGAGACTTGAGTAGTTGATTCACCGGCTGCCAGTGATGATCTTGGGCAAATCATAAAACCCTTTGGAGGCTTGTCTGATTATAAATTGGTGGCCATTCACTTAGCAGACATTCATGGGACACTAGTGAACATGGACTACTGGTCACCAAAATGAAAATCACCCAGTCCATAGGGAGTATATGGGAGAGCTCTGCATCTTCCTCTTAATTTTGCTGTGAATCTAAAACTGCTCTAAAAAATAAAGTCTTAAAAAAAATTACCCAGTCTCTGTTCTCAAGAAGTTCCAATGGTAACTCCGCCACAATAGTGACAATTAGCTACTCCACCTAATGAATGCTGACAATAATGATATTTAAAATCACAGTGGAGACCATATATTGTATGATCCTAATTACAGGAAATGCCCAGAATAGGCAAATCTGTAGAGACAGAAGATACATTAGTGGTTGCTTACAGCTAGGAGTAGGGCTAATGGGTACAGTAGATGAAAATGTTCTAAAATTAATGGTGGTGATGGTTGCACAAATTCATTAATATTCTGAAAATCATTGAATTGTACACTTTTTTTAGAAAAAAGATTTTTTTTAGGGGTGCCTACGTGGCCCAGTCAGTTAAGCATCTGTCTTTGGCTCAGGTCATGATCCCAGGGTCCTGGGATCCAGGCCCACATCGCTTCTCCCTCTCCCTCTGCCCCTCCCCCACCCCCGCTTGTGTTTTTCTCCCTCCGTGTCAAATAAATAAATAAAATCTTTAACCCCCAAAATTATTTATTTGAGGAATAGAGCAGAGCGTGCAAGAGAGAATACAAGTGGGGAGGGACGGGCAAAGGGAGAGGGAGAAGCAGGCTCTCCACTGCGCTGGGAGCCTGACGCAGGGCTTGATCCCAGGACCCTGGGATCATGACCTGAGCCGAAGGCAGATGCTTAACCGACTGAGCCACCCAGGCGCCCCTGAATTGTACACTTTCAGTGGGTGACTTGTATGATATGTGAATTCTATGTCAATAAAGCTGTCCCGTCCACCCTCCAAAAAAAAGGCTTGTGAGATAAAGTGTTGGGAGTGCTGGGGTTTAACTGTTCTGGAGGAGAATTGGTGACAACACCAAAGGATCTGATGCTTGAGCTGAGTGGTCTTTAAAAATATATATACTATTGGGTGCCTGGTTGGCTCAGTTGGTTAAGCTAAGAGACTGCCTTCGGCTCAGGTCATGATCCCGGAGTCCCGGGATCCAGTCCCGCATCAGGTTCCCTGCTTGGCAGGGAGTCTGCTCCCTCTGACCCTACCCCCTCTTGTGTGCTCTCTTTCTCAAATAAATAAAAATAAAAATCTTTAAAAATATATATATACATACTATTTATTTATAATCTACAGAGGAGCATAAAGTAAAAAATAAAATCACTCATAACACTATCACTGAAACATAACAATTAATTTCGATCTTATTTGAAATTATTTTATAAAATTGCAACCACACTATATATATGTATATGTATGTGTGTGTGTGTGTGTGTGTGTGTGTGTCTTCACTTACTATATATCTGATTTAATGATGTTAGAAAGGAGAACATTTGAAATAATGGTTATATATTATAACTATTTTGTGGGTAGATCGTAGTTTATTTTACCTCTCCCTGTTGCTGGTTGTATTGTTTCCAGTTTTCGATGTGACAATGCTGCTGCGAATGTCCTTTCATTCGTTCGTCAGTAGCTCTGTAGCGAGATCCTTCTGTGTGCTGGGGAAGAACCGGAAGAAGTAATGGGAAGCGGGTGGAGGGTGGGGGGCGTCACACCTCTCAGTCATCCTTTGCTGAAGCAGTTCTCAGAAAACTCAGAACTAGTAGTTGTCAAACTGAGAAAGAAATAGTACGGTACAGAGAAGTGGACAATAATGGAACAGCTTCATATTAAAGGGCAACCCTCTTTATCATCCTGAATTGCAGGGAAATTACAGCAGTTCTAGGAATTCCATGGCTCTGCATGGCACAGTAATTTCCAAAGAAGACCTCAACATTTAATTAAATAATCTGTATGGATGAAAATCTGAATAGATAAGATTAAGTTAAAAAGGTCACACCTAAGCCAAACTAATGAGGAACCACAAAACTAACTTGTTATTGGAAATCGCTGATACTGAAATCACTTAGACCCTGTATATGTGCTGCAAAGCCATTTTGGATAAGGCACTTTGGAGACTGTTCTCAGTCATTAGCAGAAGCCCATGGCGATCCAGACCTCTGAGGTGATACTCTACATCTTTAAAGTAGATGGTATGTTCAAGTGTCGTAATGTCCCGTACCTAGAGACACATTGTTTTTTTTAACTGAACTAGTATATTTTTTAAAGATTTTATTTATTTATTCATTTGACAGAGAGAGAGAGAGAGCACAAGCAGGGGGAGTAGCAGAGGGAGAGGGAGAAGTAGGCTCTCCGCTGAGCTGGGAGCCCGATGCTGGGCTCGATCCCAGGACCTCAGGATCATGACCTGAGCCGAAGGCAGACGCTTAACCGACTGAGCCACCCAGATGCCCCAAATTGAATTAATATTCTACTTTCTAATCTTAAATAATTTTAGGTGAAAATGAGTTGCTATTTTTAACATTAAGGTAATAAAACATTTTTTGAATCAGAACAATGAGTTATAATAAATGCTATTAAAGGAGTTAGATCTCCCACTCTGCTTTGACCGTGAAATAGTGGAACAAAACAAGGGGGGGACATTATGTATATGACATGTAGGACCAGTTAATAGCACATGATTTCTTTATAATAGTTGCTGCTTAATTAAGATCTGTCTATTAGGGGCACCTGGGTGGCTCAGTCAGCTAAGCACTGGGCTCCTTGCTCAGCAGGGAGGGAGAAGCAGGCTCTCCGCTGCGTGTCTTTCTGCCTGTCTCTCCGTCTGCTTGCATTCTCTTTCTCTCTCTGTCCAAAAAAAAAAAAAAAAAAAAAAAAAAAATCTGTCTATTATGATTGTGGCCTTAATATGTAATTTTTAAAAATTTCTTTAAAAGGCCTGGGACAACAAATGTCTGTGCTGATCGAGCCAGTTAAACTATCTGCTTTGACTTCTTTGAATCTTGATGTGTATGATATGGAGGCCTGGTGTTTTGTTCACTTTCACTCCCTCATGGGCCTGATCCTGAAGTCAACACAGCCTGAGCCCAAGGTGCTCACATTCCTGAAGAAAGGGATTTGGGTTCTTGCATGCTCATAATGCACACTTGCCCGGCCAAAGAATAGGAAAGGGAGAAAGATTTATGAAAATAAATTTAGGATCCTTCATAGTCCCAGGTTTGTTTCATAGGGATCGTTATCTCATTTTGACAGATACGTCGGAATCCATTTACCCAAAACTCAAATATGCATTAGTCTGCTTAGCAAAAGTCAACCACGCTCAAAGGAAGGGACTCCGTTATGTTGAAGCCTTTAAAAATTCACTCACTAATGTTCCTCCCCTAGTGGATGGAGATCGTTTCGGTGCACTTTGAGATGATATTTGGACATAAGTCAAAGAAATTTTGTTTTCAGCATAAGGAATATGCACTTGAAATTAAAATAATTTTTATACATAAGTGCATTTGCTCTATACCAGGCTCTATGCTAGGCACATAATTAAGGAGTCAACTGTGAACTGGCCTCACTGAGTTGTGCACAACTATCCACCAGAACACAGGCATGTGAATGGAAAGTTAGAAGTATGATAGTTCAAAGTCTTTTAAGAATACCACAAAAGGCACCTTCCGGGGCACCTGGGTGGCTCAGTCGGTTAAGCGTCTGTGTTCAGCTCAGGTCATGATCCTGGAGTCCCAGGATCAAGTCCTGCATCAGGCTCCCTGCTCAGTGGGGAGTCTGCTTCTCCCTCTCCCTCTGCTGCTCTCCCTGCTAATGCTCTCTCTCTCTCACATAAATAAAATCTTAAAAAAAAAAAAGAAAGAGGCATCTTCCTAGACCTGGAGAGTCATAAAAAGCTTTCTGAAGGAAATGACGCCTGAAGGCAATACCTAAAGATGACTTAGGAGTCGATCTAAGAGGACGATGCTGGAAACAAGCATTCAGAGTAGAAGAACTGCATGAGCCATAGTCGGGAGTGAGAGAGAGTGCTGACTCCACCTCCGGAAAGGTGTTGGACTGTAGGAAAAGGAACAGCCTCCCCCTAAGATAGCCTTAGGAGGAACAGCAACCTGAAGGAAGAGCTAAATTTTGGTTTAAAAAAGGAAATGAATTAAGGGACTATTTAACTTAAAAGGTGAGGATGTAGAGGAGTTGAAGCATGGAATTGATGCACACAAGGAAAAGATATGGGAAGAATGGCAGCCAAGAGAGGTGGTTTAGGAAAAAGTAAGACAGGGCTGCGGCCAAGGGAAGATGGTGGGAGAGGCGCGTGTCTTTTGATGTGGCCCAAGACATCAGGGAAATGGAGCACAGTGATTAAAGTGGTCCAAATGCCAAAGAGACAGACCCGTACATATCAGGAAGGTTAAAAGTGTAGTGAGGGGGCGCCTGGGTGGCTCAGTTGTTAAGCGTCTGCCTTCGGCTCAGGTCATGATCCCAGGGTCCTGGAATCGAGTCCCGCATCGCGCTCCCTGCTCAGCGGGAAGCCTGCTTCTCCCTCTCTCGCTCCCCCTGCTTGTGTTTCTGCGCTAGCTAACTCTCTCTCTGTCAAATAAATAAATAAAAAATCTTTAAAAAAATAAAAAAAGTGTAGTGAGGACACTTGGACTTTTCAAGGGTCAGGACAGATTTCACTTCCACGGGAATTCGAACCTTGGATGGATGAGACTTTAGTCTCGCAGGAGGGGCTACCTGAATCTTGAATGATTTGCCTGGACTTAGAAAGAGAAGCTCTGAATTTAATGCAGCTCATGGGCAGCTCTCGAGGAGTGGCCCACACCAACACTGGTCTGCAAAATCTACATTATTACCAACCAGCTCTGCAGGTGAGGCCAGGCTTGGAGATACTTGATACATGTATCTTTTAGCGGCAGCTGATGCCTTTCTTTCTTTCTTTCTTTTTTTAAACGTTTTATTTTATTTTTTTAAGATTTTATTTATTTATTTGACAGAGACAGCGAGAGAGGGAACACAAGCAGGGCGAATGGGAGAGGGAGAAGCAGGCTTCCCGCCGGGCAGGGAGCCCGATGTGGGGCTCGATCCCAACACACTGGGATCGTGACCTGAGCTGAAGGCAGACGCTTAACGACTGAACCACCCAGGTGCCCAGCTGATGCTTTTCTTTGAATAAATTCCTAGATGTATAATTTCTGGGTCAGAGATTTTTGATGTTACTGATCCCTACTACCAAATTCATTTCTGAAAAATTTGTACCAGCTTATATTCTCATTTGGTTAAGAGTAACCATCTTTCTCTATCCTTAACAATACTGGATAAATAAAATTTTTTTTTCTATGTCACAGAATTGTATCATTGTTCTTAGACAACTCTCTATGTATCTCTTTTATTTTGCATTTCTTCTTGCACTGTATTAGTCTTATTCCAGGCCCTCCCTGCAGGGACATTTGCATAGCCTTGGAAGATACAGGATCTCCCTCTGGGGCAGAGGACAGATATGTTTATTGTCCAAAGAGTAAAGATAATGGCTCCCTCCAGATGCAAAGGTGGGACAGGTTTGCTAGTAGCCCTTTATGACTGAGGATTCCTTTTTTTTTTTTTTAAAGGATTTATTTATCTATTTTAGAGAAAGAGAGAGCATGAGCAGGGAGAGGGGCACAGGGAGAGGGAGAGAGGAGAGAATCTCAGGCATTTTGGGCTCCCTCCTGCTCAGTGGGGAGTCTGCTTCTACCTCTCCCTCTACCACTCCCCCTGACTTGTTCTCTTTCTCTTGCTCTCAAATTAAAAAAAAAAAAAAAAAAGCAGCAATAGGTACAACAGACTTTCTATGACATTTTTTATAAATATTTTATTTATTTGAAAAGAGCGCGCACGTGTGCATGGGCAGGGGTGAGGGGCAGAGGGAGAAGCAGACTCCCCGCTGAGCAGGGAGCCTAATGCAGGCCTCGATCCCAGGACCCCAGGATCATAACCCGAGCCGAAGGCAGATGCTTAACCGACGGAGCCACCCAGGTGCCCCTCTATGACGCTTTATTTTATGTTAAGAGCCTTTGTTTTCTATCTACAACATCTACATGAAAGTACACAATGGCTGCTTTAAATTGGCTGATGAAGTCTATGATGGAGAACAAAGGAACAGTCTCCCCAAATGTTAGAGCAAGTCACCACGTTTTAGGGTGATTTCTGCCCTTAGATTTCCTCTGATTTCAAAGAGGTGCCTCGCCAGTGTCCAGGCCCAAACAGGCCAGATTTTTTTTTTTTTTTCATTTAAAGAAGCTGGGAATTGGGATTTTTACGTTAAAACTTTTTTAAAATGTGCAAGTGAGGTTCAGCATCTGAGTCAAGGTCTTGGCGTGAACAGTTCTATGAGGACCACGTGGAGATCCATACACTGCCATTCAAACACTAGGACATCTGGGAGCTTGTATTTGCCCCACAGAGCGGATGATTTGCTCACCATCCAAGCCTTGTTCTTTTAAATTCAGCTGAATAAACATGGTTTTAGAACTAATGAAGTAGAACTGCTTGCTTCTTTTTTTTCCCCTATTGTGTGTTGGTGTCTAAGCCATTGTCAGGAAAATCAAGCTTTATTGTTTTTCATAGACAAAGTGGATTTTGCTCATGGGCATGCACAAAATGCATGGGATTTTGCTCATGAGTTACGTGCTAAATTTTAGAATATTCTTCCAAAAAGAAACTTTACGTTGTAAAGTAGGCAAGTTTGTCTTTCGGCACCGTAACATCTCAGCATTTTGGGCTCTCCCCCTCTCCCTCACCTGACTTCAACCCCACCGCTGCGCTCTTGGTTCTTCTTTGCTGTCCGAACATCCTCAAAACCAGTTCTTGGGAAAGGTGTTTTGTCTAAACTTTAGAGAGGGGCCTGATCATCTGACTCTCCCATGACCATGTAGATTCTTGGTTGAAAAGGTCACTGGAAATCTCACACAGAGTAAATTTCCCTGGAATTCTATCAGCCAAGAGATGGGAAAGGGGCCTACAGGCTTTTCTCTGACCCACCCAATAGAAATTCCAGGATGTTGGATTTCTGAGGGTGGCTGCTGCGAATTTTAAAAAGCAATGTAGACCCTGTTGTTCTTCCCTCCTTTGTGTCTCTGATTTGAATGTTTTTCTCGTATTTTGTGCTCATACAAGTTTTTGACTCTATCTATTCAATCATTAAATATTTATGGAACACCTACAAATTGTCAGGCAAGGTACTGAGCTGGTAAAAACATTTCCAACTTGGGGCGTCTGGGTGGCTCAGTCATTAAGCGTCTGCCTTTGGCTCAGGTTATGATCCTGGGGTCCTGGGATGGAGCCCCTCATCGGGCTCCTTGCTCAGTGGGGAGCCTGCTTCTCCCTCTCCCACTCCCCCTGCTTGTGTTCCCTCTCTCGCTGTGTCTTTCTCTGTCAAATAAATAAAATCTTTAAAAAAAATTTTTCCATCTCAAGGGGTCAAATGAGTTACGTGCTAAATTTTAGAATATTCTTCCAAAAAGAAACTTACGATCTCCTATAAAAGAGTTTTTTGGGGCTCTGAGCTCAGCGGGGTGTCAGCTTGAGGATTCTCTCTCTCCCTCTGCTCCACCCCCCATCCCCAGCTCATATGCACTCCCAAATAAATCTTTAAAAAAAAATTTTTTTTTAATTTTTACCTCTGAAACAAATAATACATTATATGTTAAAAATAAAAAAAAGAAGATAGCAGGAAGGGAAGAATGAAGGGGGGGAAATCAGAGGGGAAGACGAACCATGAGAGACTATGGACTCTGAGAAACAAACTGAGGGTCCTAGAGGGGAAGGGGTGGGGGATGGGTTAGCCTGGTGATGGGTATTAAAGAGGGCACGTTCTGCGTGGAGCACTGGGTGTTATGCACAAACAATGAATCATGGAACACTACATCCAAAACTAATGATGTAATGTATGGTGATTAACATACTAATAATAAAAAAAGATTTTATTTATTTGAGAGAGAGAGAGAAAGAGAGAGAGAGAAAGAGCACAAGCAGGGGGAGCTGAAGGCAGAGCAGGCCGAAGGCAGAGGGAGAAGCAGGCTCCTCAATGAGCAGGGAGCCCGATGCAGGACTGGATCCCAGGACCCTGGGATCATGACCTGATTGAACCAAAGACGGCCGCTTAACTGACTGAGCCACTGAGGTGTCCCTAAAAAAATTCCTTTTAACAAAAGAAAACTTAACAAATGTTAATAAATATTCATGTTTAACAGCTGTGTTTATAGTTCATTACAAGCCTGATTTTTAAGATTTTTCTGTCTATCCCCTAAGGATTTATGTATGGGATTTACATAGGGCATGGTTTTTCTACTATCATTTACTTCTCTAAATTGACTTTTCAAGGGGCACCTGGGTGGCTCAGTTGGTTAAGTGTCTGCCTTTGGCTTGGGTCGTGATCCCAAGGTCCAGGGTCAAGCCCCGCACCAGGCTCCCTGCTCAGCAGAGAGCCTGCTTCTCCCTCTCCCACTGTTGCTCTCTCTGCTCGTGCTCTCTTGCTTGCTTGCTTTCTATCAAATAAATAAAATCTTAAAAAAAATAAATTGACCTTTCATAACTTACAGAAAACCCCACCTACTTTCAACCTCAAGGCAGAAAAGTAAGGTAAGTGTGATGGATCCTCAGTGTGAGGTTTAGAAGTTCTCCACTTTAAAACACTCTCAAGAAAAATTTAAAAGTTATTTTCCTCTGTATAAAGAAAGTTAGGCAACATATATTTTTGTTATGTTGGGGTAGGGTATTATGCTTATGTTTGGAAATAGAATTGCTTAAGAAATGACCTATAATTACCAATTTATATTAACATGCTTCTGTTCTCTATAAAAGTTTTGTCAAAAAAATTTGGAACATGAAGTTACACGCAGAAAAACCCACCTTAATTTGTGCCCCCAAAGTTTTACTTTTTTTGATTCAATAATGAAATAGTTAAAAAAGATGTCTTTTGTTACTACAAAATAAAAAGGATAATCTAGTGATTGATCTAACTTAGCCACCTATCAAGAAAACACATACCATCCCAGACATTAAATTCAGTATTTTAAAAGTAATCCAAAGATACAGAAAATATGCTGTCACTGAAACATGGTATATCGTCATTAACCCAGAACCTTTGTCTGCAAGGCTCAGAAGGCAAGGCAAAGCGTTACAGCTCAGTGTAGTTTGGAAAAATCTTGACCTTCCTAGAACAAACACACGAATTCACACTATAATTTACTTTGTACTTTACAAACTTTATTAAATAATGAGCATTACTAACTTTCATTATCTTATATACAATATTTAAACTATCTTTTCCTAGATGCATTTTTTTTTTTTGCACAAAGAGTAGGTGAAAAGTGAACTCTTAAAAAAAAATTGAACCTTCAGTACAGAGACCTAATAAGAACTTGACATAATTTTAAGTACATATAACTTTTCCCCCCAATTATATACAATCTTACCCCACCTCCAAAAGAAACTATCTTAAACAAAAGCTTTTAATTGGTAACTTTGAGAAAAAATACAAACACGATTATACATATACACACAGCTCTCAAAATCTGCATCCTGGCTGACCGAAGTGGTCTATAAAGCTAAAGATTTGTCCTAGAACCTAAAACAACCACACATTTTATACAGCAAGACATCCACCTTCGTGCAGCAGGGTAACTCCTATAGGGTGACATCAAAGCTGTGCAACGAGACCCTGGTGTGAAGAATTAATAATTTCTGAGAGTAAGACACCAGCGTAATATATGGACAATATAGAGTTGGGGGTCGTACAAACTAAAAGGGAAAAATAGGAAACTCCATTCTTAGGACAAGAAGAATCAGGTAACTTTGTTTTGCAAACTAAGAACATACTTTCCTACAGGGCTTGTCTTTTTTGATACTCCTACTCTTGAAAACTTGTTATCAAGTTTAAAGAAAGGCAGTGAAAGCAGGAATGTTTCTAGAACCATGCCATTCAACATGGACTTGGTTTTGTAAGCTACGAGAAGAAAGAATCTTGCGGAGAAACAAGAAGCTTGGGTTATTTTTTGTTATTTAAAAGGAAAAATGAGTGCCGTAGGTACTTGTTTGTAAAATAAGGATGGTCACATCTGATGCTTCATGGTTAAGAAAAAGAGGCACAGGACTTTAAAAAGAGGAAAAGAATTATGGTTAGATGTCACCGATTGCAATCAGTATCAGAGCTTGCCTTCAAATAGGAAGCCTAGATCCCCTTTCCTACACAGATATTAATGAAAACTGAGCCCACTGGGGAAAGGGTTCTAGAATGTAAAATTGCTTGAAAGGAGAATACAACATTCTTGTTTTGAGAAAACATCCTTGTTGCATTGACTGGAGTCTTCCATAAAATAGAACATTTTTATAAAATAGCAACAGATTGGCCTTCACTTTTCTCTTTTGCTTCTTTGATTTTTGCTTTTTACTCACAAGGCCTTGCTTTTGATCTTCTGTTTCCTTCCATAAAACCTTAGGTTAGCCCATGATTATCACAATGGACGGCTATTTGAAGACCATAATGACAACATCAAAGACGGTATTTGTCAGAGCTTAGTAGCCAAAGATTCTTTTCTTTTATGTGCCTCAAAACAATGAGAAAAGGCCCCCCTGTTATGTTGAGTTTGGAAAATAGATTTCACCGCAGCAAACGAAATCCTCAAGGCTGGGATCAGGTCATTTGGCTGAGGTACAAAACTCGGGAAAGTACACATGGAAAAACTGCTCTGGAAAGGGTGGCCCTAAAGTGTTTTACTTTAGCTCATGGCTTACTTTGTGTTGATTAGACATCCGCACAAAAATATTGCACGAAGAGTTCCCATTTCCACCCCTGCCTTCCACTGGAATATGAGGAGATCACCAAGTTGTCCCCATCCTTTCTAACAGGTAAGTCAATCTGCATTTTCTTGCTTGTAGTTTCCTTTGAGCACTGGAGGAAATCATTCATTTTACTCCAGCAATCAAAAATAAACACGATAAGCAGCGCATTCTCTGGAACGTGTCCAGGAATAGAGGTAAGGGTCTTTGCTTATAATCGTTCTTGCTCCCTCCTGATGTCCCACAGCTACCCGATTTCTACAACAGAGTGAACAGATGTAGGAGTGACCCATGCAGAGGGAGACGGGCAGTGTGCACTTACACCCCTAACTAGAGATCTCTAGCTTACGTTATTCTGGGGTCTTGTCCTGAACGTAACCAAAATGCCAGGTATAATAAGCCTAATCCTTCAAACAGCTTTAGTTTTCCTTCCTTTTTTTTTTTTTAAACATGTGGAAAAGCCTCCTTGCTGCCTTTGGGTCCTAAAATCAAACTACTCGTGGCTTCTGGATGATAGGCAAGGGCTACTGCATTTCTTAGACTCTGGGCACTATTGCCAAGGGCACGGGACAAAATGTCATGGCCATCATGTTAAACAAACAAACAAAAAAAAGCCTAAAACTTTCCAAGTAAGATTGACTTACATGAAACATGAAGGCAGTCAGCATCAGGAAGACACGCCGTGAGATGCTGACGCCGGCTAGACAGTACAGTCCCGGCTGGCTTGGCAGCCATTTCAGAGAGCTGTTGTGTAAAAGAAAGCATGGTTGACACGCCTGGTTATTACAAAACTGCTTTAATCTGGTACATAGAAAACACCTCTGGGTATCGGTCCTTTACAAGCCATCGCGCCACGTTGACCCGGGGCAGGCTTCTCCGAAGAACCTCAGGCAAAGCTGCTGGAACTGAGACACTGAAACTTCTCCCTCAGCGACTGGACGATATTTTGCTGGTTGGGAGATGGCCCCCTCCAGAGATAGTCATTCAGTTTGTCCGAATCGCTGTACGACGTCAGATAGGGGGACAGCCCCAGCTTGTCGCTTATTGGCTTTTTTGGAGTGCATGGACTATTCAAAGAGTACGGGGTGCTGCTGCTGCAGGCGTTCTCGGGCAAGTCGGCCTCCATGACCCCCGGGGCGGATTTCTTCCTCCGGCCGTGCGAGAACTCTAGCTCCGGCTCGTCCTCTTCTGACTTGATTTCCACATAGTCGTCTTCGTCTCCTTCAGTCTCTTTGAAATTGGAGAAGTAGTTCTGGGTCGCTATTTGGGCACTGAAGGGTGAATTTCTACTTACTACCAGAACCTTCTGTGAGTCTCGGAGCGTGAGATCTGAGTGTTTTTCAGCGCCCTGAGGACATGAGTCAGCCACACCTGGCAGCAAATCCTGGGGACTCTCACACCTCGAACTTTTGTGTGAAGACAGCAGCTGTCTCTTTCCCATCTCCCCAGGGTAGCTGATGGAGTCCCCCGACTTGTTTATCAAGATGGAGGAAGAGGACCGGGACCTGCTGTAGGGCTGACATTTTGCACTGAGGCCTTTGCGACCCAAAGAGTTGTAAAGGTGGCCCTGAAAAGAGTTCTCTTTGTTGGGCTGACTGACTATGACACTGTGTCTCTGCAAGGAGCCCAGCAGGGGGTCGGAGGTTTGAAGAGAAGGCACAGAGCAAGCTGCAGACAGCTGTCTTGGAGCGCTCTTTGCACTGATCGCTAAGGTAGGATGTTTCGACTTCAAGTCTGGCTCTGGCCGGGGACAGAAATCCACTAACTCTCCGTTACTGTAGGTTGAATGCAAAAGCCAATCCTCGCTGCTATGTTGGGCCTGGGAAGGTGAGGTGGACCTGAGGTGGCAGGGTTCTTGAGGGCTGGCCCAGCTATCCTTCTGAGCCTTGAAGGGGGTCTCTCTGAATACAATCTGGTCATACAGTTGGGAATACTCAGCAATCCTGGCACCTGGAAGGCAAATATGGAAACAATAAACGTACAGAGGATTAGTTCCACATGCAAAGATTAAAAAAAATTAAAAAAAAATCTAACATCCTAACAGATTTAAAAAATTTAAATAGATAGGACCTTTAAGTTTGAGGGTGAGTCACCATTGAATACTAAGCAATGCGAACTAATAAAATAATCCATAGTTTAATAAGACACAAAAATGTAAAAAGAGGTCACCTACAGGTTCATTTAATTTGATCAAATTCTGGCTTATTTTATTTTAGGTCTGCAAATGATCACTACTTGTAATGAAAATTTCTAGTGTTCTTTACAAGCATGAAATCGTGTCAGTGCTACAGAACAGGCATCATAAAAACAAGAAGGTCAGCACTTAAACCCTGGTCAATGACAAATAACTCAAGTAGTCATTAAAAGGAAGATGACACAATCCACCATGCAGTGGCTGCCCTTGGCTTCTCACTAGACTTAATCTCTCTGAGACAAGGACTCCCAGAAGAGTCCGCTCCTGGTCACTGTTCCTGTATTTCCTGTTTCTGAGCAGCCGTTCCCTGCTACCATCTGGGAAACAAGTGTCTACAGGAGGCCCTCCCTTCCAGGATTTCAAAACCACGTGTATTGACTGAGTCACATCTTCGTTCCCATCCCCAAGAAGCCAGGCACTGAAGTCTATGCCCCTAAGATATTGAGAATGAATCATCTATGCATATAATTGATAATGTAATACTCTCTGGTGTTTGTCCAGAACAGGATTTGACTGTTATATCCATGAAAACTATTGCCGCTTCAAATTCAGCTAGGAGGCCATTCTCCTCTCTACTCTACTTGTGAGTATAGACATTTCTACATTTCTAAAGACATTAACAGAACGCTGCTATGGATAGAATACTCTCTTGGGCCAGGAATGATTTAAGAGACAGAGCCCAGAGATGTCAATTTCAAGAGCTGCCCCCCCCGCCCACACACACCATCACCCCAATCCAGGTATCCACAGGACCGCCCTAGAATCAAAGAATTCCATGCATCCTATAAATTTCCCAGACCACATCTACACAGCCCCTACAAAACAGATCTATCCCATGTACGATGGCCAGCAAGTGACATTGCATTTTCTTCTTAAGCTATTTATATTTTTAGTAACCTATTGTTAGTAAATTCTTCCTTGAATTTAAACAAAATATTTAGTTGAGTTTCTGCCATTTCTTTCAACTCTATCTTCTATGAGGACAGAAGACACCCGCTGGTGTGCCTTTAATTGCAACCTTCTCACATTGTTTGCATTCCCAACTCCCCAAATCAGGGTAAATCATGTTTAACTTCTCATAGATCCTATATTCAGATCCTTCAGGTTTTCAAGTCCAAATTCCTTGGAAGAACAGAGAATAATAGTTTAGAATTTCTAGTAACAAAAACTTGAGCTATTATTCCTTAAATGGCATAGTAAAGACTCTTGATACCAATTAAATTTGGCAACCCCTTAGGAGACTGAAAGTCTACGTGAACACTAAAGTGCCCATGTTAGCCATTCTGAAGTCTATAATGTTTCATTAACTGTGAAGCCCAAACAAAGGCAGCTGGACCTTGAGACAGAGTCACTGGTTAGCAGTCCCTCCTGAACATCAACTCGTTCTGCCCAAACCATTCTTATCTACACGATGACCCTGAACACGATCCCACAGCTAAGTCAGGAAGGTTCTGAACTTTCACAAGGTTCCAATGAGATGACAATTTGGGGGAAAGTAATGAGAACTAATTAAAACATTTGGTTCAACTATTTCAGTACCAAAGTTTAACCATAGAGTCGTGGATGAAAAATTGGCTTTTGACTTTTGACTGCGATAGCCCAGATGATCTGAAACCATGTATTACTCAAAATATCCACAGTATTTCTCATGCCTCTTTCTTCCTAATCACACTCTCTTCTTCCTTTGCTTAATCAAATCCTATTTACCACTCAAGACCCTCTATAAGCACTACCCCTTCCATGAATCATTTTCTAACCCATTTCTCTTCTCTGAAGTCTTATATACTTAGTGTGGACCATAATATTCAGCTATTGGCTGCACACACATGCATGGGCATGCACGCACACGTGCACACAATCTCGTGTTGCTTTTTTTTTTTTTTTTTTTTTTTTTTACATGGGCTGGTTTATCATTCCAGCTAGTCCATGAGCATTTACTCTTGGAGAACAATCCTCACAGAGCACCAAGCACAATTCTAGATATAAATTGGTCTCAAGAACTACTTATCCAGATATATTTTGGATTTCCTCCTTTTATTTTAAGCATAGTTTTAAAAATGGACATGCTTTCCCTAAGACCATACCACAGAGAGTGACAGGCAGCCTAGAACATCAGGGGCATAGCAAAAAAAAAAAAAAAAAAAAGCAGGAAAGTAGCCTTTGATTAAAATGCTTCCTATAGATAACTCATAATGGGCACAGTTTATCTTTGAATAATAAAAAGTTGACCATTTATAAATTTGGAATAAAAATTATCTCACAGGTAGATAACACACAGTGCCTATCTAAGTTTTAGGGATTTTGTTTGTTTGTCTCATTCTGTAACTTGTTTGATGGCAATGTGAACAAGAGAATGCTTCCAAAGCAACAGCTGTCATTAGCTTTCTTTACCCAGATGTGTAGGAAATAGCCAGCCCAAGAAGACATCTCCAGTCTAAACACCTTAGTATTAGCCAGGTGGATCAAAGTTCCCCATCATCCCAGTCCCGGCATTAATACCTTTTATAGAATATGTATATTATCATTATGTGACAACCTCAGGGCCGTCTCTGGTTTATTTCTCTTTTGTAAGTTTAAAAGGTGGCGTTCTTAGGATTCCAGATAAAAACTGGAAACATTCCTTGCTGAGAAAAGTATGAAATAAACTGTTTTCAAGACAGAGGATTCAAATCAAAGCTTCTGATGCTGCTTGAGACGTAGACCAAAGCATAAAATGTGATTTTGCCTTTGCTGCACAAAAAGGATAAATCCCTCAAGCCTGTATGGAGTTTTCCCCCATGTAAAACATCACCAAGAAAGGGAACCCAAAGGCCTCGTTGGCCTCCAAGACTATGAGGAGGGAGGTCTGACTGAACAAGAATGTTGGCATACGACAACAGGCTCTGGACGGTGGGAGTAACTAGACCTGGATGGGTGACTTAGAGGCAGAAATCTGACCCGGGGCCTGTAGACCCCCGCCAGAGAGTTCAATAAAGGTGCTCGAGAGTTTCAGCAGGTGAATAGGGCGTTCCTCCTTCCGTACAACACCGAGAGCAAGCTCCTGGCAAAGTGGCAAGGCCCATACGAAGAAGTCTGGAGAATCGGTCCGTTCGATTATGACGTCCTGTGCCCAGATAAACGAGAGAGAGAAAAGGAGTCATCATGTCAACTGATTGAAAGCCTCGTGGGCACAGGAAGTGGTCTCGATCCACCCAGATGGAAGATTCCTCAGGTCCGAGAGATGGCAGGCCCTAGGGACGTGCTCCTGCCAGATAGCAGGGGAGACCCCATTCTCAGAAGATGACTTTGGAGAGATCTCCTCCTCTCGGTTGGGGAGAACGTCGGTAGTAGCCCACCATGTCAAGAAAGGACCCAGACGCAGAGCTGGGAAAAGATCCCATGGGATCTCAAGAAGACATCAGTAGGCAAAACCAAAAGGAGAACAAACCAAAAGTAAAAAGAAGCAAAAGAAAACCCCAAAGGGACATCTATGAATATTTAAAAGGTGGGTAAAAAAGAAGACTACTCAAGGTAGTTGTAAGCCCTAATGATTCAGCATTGGAGGACCTGCTTCTATCGAGGTTTGAGTTCTGCATTTTAATGGATGGTCCATATTCAAAACAACCTGGCTCAGGCAATTACCACTCTTGAAACAATAGTCTACTGGCATAATCCATGATCATCAGAAACCCTATTCTATTCTCTCTCTAGCCCAGGTTCAGTCAGTGGTTGCATTGCCCACGTACCACTGCTTCCAATGCCATCTATGCCCCCACAGGGTCCTTTACAGCTGGAACTCAGTCACTTTTTCCATGGGTAACAACAAACCAGCTTAGCAACGCTAGTACTGGAAGAGGGACATGAATTAATTTTCTTGCAAGGAGAAAAATATATGCCATCTAGTCTCTTACATTCATACAAAATTCACTTTCCACCTTTATTTAAAAAGAAGAACAACTCAAGAGAGTGTGTAAAATCCTTCAGGTAGCAAATTCCAGCGCTTACCTTCCCTATTTGATAGGAAACTTTACTGTAGGAGGAACTCTACAAAAGAGTAAAGCTTTAGACAATTCTTAAATACTCCCAAACTTAAAAAAATTCCCTATAGATTCTCGTCACGTAACTTGTAACTTGTGGCTTCATTTAGGATTTGGATATCCCCTTCTTATTCTCTGGTTTTCGCAGAGATAAAGACATCAATCTCAAAGAAAGGGGGTTAGTGGCATCGATCTGGCCGGATGAGCCATGTCATCGTCCTGCTAACTGTCTCAGTGTGCCTTGATACCGAGCCATCGGGCTTTTACTTTTAACTGGAGAAAGGTCTCCTCTCATTTGATACCAAGGGGGTCCTTTGTCAGAAAATCTAGGCCAGGGAATCTTAAAATAGGCTCAAAAGGCCACACTGTTTTAAATTGCAGATTCCGGGGCTTAACCCCAGAAATCTGTCTGGGTCTAGAGGTGAAAATCTCCTGAGGTGAGAGCCAGGGCCCTGGGGTTTCTTCTTCCCGTGACAATCATGTGTCTCATTCACACCCGTGTTCTTCAACCGAGATCAGTGTCTCGGTGTCAAGTTTGGTCTCTGCACTTCTTTATAACAGAGAAAGAAGTCAAACCTTTGGCCCTAATCCTACCAACATCATACCTGAGATCCCAGTTTTCTGCCCCACAAAGGAGGCTTGACCGAAAGAATCACACTTTTTGGAAGCTACCCGAGAATACTAAAGGGAGATAGTATTAAATGCATGACACGGGCTATTTTACGGCACCTATTAAACAAAAAGTCAACTGGTAAGAGAAATAGGTGAGCAAATCCCTGAGGATATAGTGTGAAAGGACTCCTTTTCATCTATTAGGATGAGTGGGCATGTTTGTTGGGATTCTGGAGCAACCCTATTCCACAGGCTTCCGAATCTTCAAAGCTGACATGAGCCATGACTCCTCCGGACACAGCGATACACAGGGAAAAGTTCTACCTGCCACGAGTTCAGCAGATTGCTATTTTTCACACTTCAGATCAGAGAAAACTTCTTAAAACATCAAGTCTGGTAGTGACAATGTGACACAAACAACAAAACCCTCCGAGACCGAATCTTGCTCCAGCTTGGGCGACTCTGTGAGCTAAAGTGGGAAAAGAATTAGGAACGGCCTCATCGGTGTTTGTTAGTAAAGCTGTGGTCTCAATTTGAGAGAATGAATGTCTGAGTGGCAATATTCTCACCGTTTCAAGGACTTTTAGAACCTGAAAGCTGCCCTCACATCCTACTTTCAAGAAGGAGGGAAAGCGGTGTGAAGGAACGTACCGATGGCAGGACCCCCTTGCTTCTTTTCTTCTAAGATGGCTGCCAGGTCTTTGTGCGTGGGTTTATGCTGCTGGCTGGCCAGTGCCTGCTCCAGCTCTGGGCTTCTCACTTTTAAAAGCTGATTTGCCTTCTTGATCTTCTGACTGTACTGCCTGGCCATCATAAAGACCCTGCTTTTTGTCTTATCTGTGGCATCCATCCCAGGGTCAGGGTTTTCCAAGTCTGGTTGGGATAGACTGCTGTTGGCCAAGTCGTAGGGGTTTTCCATGGGAGGTGTTTCACTGGCCAGAGACAGCCGGTTAAGACTCATAAAGGAGCCCTCTTTAGAAATCAGGTCCTCCTCAAAAGGGCAGTGGGTCCGGCCAGCTCTGCCGGGCTTGTCTTTCAGTGGCGTGAGGAAAGCATGGCCCTCAGGAAGCGAGAGGGTAGACACGGAACGCACCGTGTCTCTGCCCAGCTCGGGGGTGCTCTCGGAGTGCAGGCTGTCTGTCACATCCTCTTTACTGACAGGGAAGGCTGCGAGGAGCCGGTCTCTAGCTTTGACTTCGTTTTTCTTGATGTAATTTTCCAGGTCATTCCAGATTTCATCTACTTCTTCAGACAGTTTATCAGATATAGATTTATCACCTACAGACAGGTTACAGCTGAAAGAGTTATAGAGCAGACTCAAATAATCATTATCAGAGGGTCCCTGGGGGTAAGGAGTTTCGTCCTCGCTGAACTGGAGGCTATCCTGGGAAACAAAGGGCCTCAGACTGTCACAGCATGCAAAGTCGGTTTCCAGCCCTAAGAAGGTGTTCCTCTTGGGGCGCTTCAGGCTGCTGCATTTGAAATCCAGGGAGGGCGGATCTGGGAGCCCTATGGTGTCGTAGATGTTTTCCTCCACCATCTGGAGTTCATGTGTGCTTTGGTTCGATGCCTGGCGACCTGTTAGAGCTCCATCCCTCTCTGTGTGAAGAGAGCTCTTCTCGGGGCCAGCTTGCCTCTTTGAGAAGGCGAGCTCTGGCGTGCTCTTGGGGCGAACAGAGTCCCTGGCTGTTTTGGGGGGTGTGGATTCAGCTTCTTCCCGTTTAGCAACCATTAGTTTTAAGTCCTCATAACTTATGTTATCATAGACGTGGTCTATGTCATCAATAGTCAACTCCACAGATGACCCAAAGGGAGTCATTCCGTCCTGCCCTTCTGTTTTAGGGTCACTCTGCAGTTCCCGTCGGGGGCTGTACTGAGAGCCACCACTGTCCCTAGTTCTTATTTCAGGAGCGCATGTGTTGTTCTCGCCAGCGCTGCTGGCCCGCCTGACCACCCGGTGGCCAGAGCTGGTGGTCTCCGTGGGCTCAATCTGTCCCATGTGCCAACTGCAAGGGCGACTGGAAGTGCCATCTTCACAGAGTCTGGTAGAGTTCAGATCTGAGGAGGAGAAGGATGGCACGAACATCTGATAATCATCTTCATCATCTTCGTTCTCCTGAGGGGACCGACGACTCGGGAACAAGGCTTGTCTGATCTGGTGGTCCGTCCAGATGTTTCTGATGGCTCCACCCCCACGAAGCACGCTGATGATGGCAGAACTGCTCGGCTGGCTGTTCCTTGGGGCGGGAGATGGCCCCGCTGAGGTCCGCTGGGGAGACCCTTCCTCTCTGGAAGCCTGAGGTGGATAGAAACATACTGATTGAACTGCAGTGACATGACCACATAACTTATGACACTCTCCTGGTTTTACACATTGCCTCTCCCACTGGACTATAATAGTCTTAAAGCAAATGATCAGTAAATGTTGTTGATTTTAATGGAGTTGAAAAGCACTTCAGATTTTTGCAAAAGGTGCAGAAAGGACAGGAACTGATATTTACTTAGAAACAGGCTAGGCCATGTGCAGACATTCTCCACACTTAACGTTTACAATCACTCTGTGAATTAGACATGATGGTACTAATTTCAAGGTAAGGAAATCCAGGCTCTCCCCAGGCAGTAGAAAGGCTAGGACGCAAACTAAGTCTGACTCCAAATCCCTTACCCCAGTGCAGGGAATCAGCAAAATACAGAAAACTCTTAAATACTTCACATAATTCCAGTGTGCACTTGGTGAATAACATTCTATAAATGAACATATGTAGGTATCAAGGGCCACTGTATCTGGTTTCTATTTGAGGCTTGACTGCTAGGAGTTTTATTGTGGTTTCTGGTATACCAGAAGCCTCAGTCAGTAATCCGACTGCACACCTTAAGGCTTTCTCTGAAATCTGCAGACTTGCCATAGACCTGACTGGCACTGCCTTGGTTTATAGATTCTAGGCAAAGAGCCTTTGTTGCAGACATGTAACTTAATCCACTATTGAGCTAATGAACGTTTTACTTTCTTTCAAAATACATTTAATTAAGTAATATTTAGATGCCTATTAGGAAATAAAATATGAGTGACGTTAACAATTTCTAATCACAAAACCAATGGGGTCTTTTATAACTTGGAACCTTTCTTGATGGAGCTCAATTGTGCAGACAGGGAGCAGACTGCCCTCTGATGCCCTCTATAGGTATAAGGATTAGCTTCAAAGGGTTGAAAGGGTTGAGACCAGTTCAAACTCATTAGTACCAGGGGCATATTTTCTGACCCAAACACTATTAGGAATATTTTTTGTAACCTATTAGAAATGTTAAGTTAGCAAGAACTTTTCCTCACTTTGTCAATGAAACTGCGATATATATATTGCCTTGGAATAACCTCCTATCAATATGTCTTTCTCTCTGCTGGCCTGCCCGCCTGCCTATCAGGGAGGGAAGGGAAGTAGGGAGGGCAAGAATAAAATTTCATCCTGAAGGTTATTTTTCCATTAAAATTTGAAACTAAAAATAACCTAATTAGTCATTTAATCTTTTGCCTTTTTTCACATGGTCAAACTGTGGACCATCTGAGGCCTAGAAATATATGAATATGCACACATATGGATATATACGCACATACACATATAGAGTATTACATTTTATTTATGGCACTATTTTTTTCTTTACCCTTTAGTATCTCTCCCTTTTTCTTACTCAGATTGTCCTGGTACCATGTTTATAAAATACAGACACCCAGGAACTACATTTTTAAAAAACAAGTTAGTATTAACTAGTGAAATCATGACAAAACACTTTGAAAGTGTAACAAAAGGATTTTGTGAACAGCCAGAAGTAATACCTTCTTAAAATCTTCCATCCCAGAAAGATTCCCAGACATCTTAGGAAACTAGGAAACCTGAATTTTTAATATCAAATTTGATATTTTTAGGGTAATTGCTTGGAACTTTGGAAACTGAAATTTTACATGAAATCTTCAGGAGAACTGAAGAAGCTCTTAGATTGAGAAATAATCAGTATGTATATTACGCACAACATAGAAGTGTCTGGTTTAGATACCTTGATTTCACTAGAGCCATGATGAACATTTTTCCCCCACTGTTTTTCTATATTCTTAGCATTATGGCTATTAATAATAATATGACAATAGCTATCATTTGTGGAGCACTTGCTTTGTTCCAGATTCTGGACTAAGCATTTTTTTCTTTTAAGATTTTATTTTTAAGTAATCTCTACACCCAATGTGGGGCTCAAACTCACAACCCCAAGATCGAGAGTCATGCTCCACCAACTGAGCCAGCCAAGCACTCCTGTACTAAGTACTTTTAAAAAAATATATTTTTGCATTTAGTCTTTATAATAATTCCATAAGTTAGAAAACTAAGTTTTCTAACAACTTCCTTGTAAGTCATATAGCTTAGGATTGACAGAAATGGATTTGAATCCATGTCTGAATCCACAGCATGTATATGACCTTAACTGCCCCCCCCTTGCTCTTGCTCTCTCTCCCCCTCCCTCCTTCCCCTTTCTCTGTCTCTCCACACACACACACACACACACACACACACACACACACACACACACACAC